CTCTGGCCGCTGATACCCGTTTTCACCGCGGCATAGGAAACAACTCTTCGCCGATGCCTGATCATCCCAGATTTTCATTATGTCCTGTGGTGTTGGGAACTTTATTTTCTGGTGATAGGATAAGTGGACCACCTTTAATGCATGCAACCACGATCTCCCCATAATAGCGGTGTAAGGGGAGTCGGAGTCCACTACTACAAATTCTACTAGCATGGTCATCACCCCCGCCCGTACCATGAGGATGATTTTTCCAAGGGGAAGGGGCGTTGGAACCATTGAAACCGATGAGGGGGGTTTTAACGGGTTCCAGATCCTTCTGAGAGAGTCTCATCTTGCGGAAGAGATGATCGTACATTACCTCGGAAGAACTGCCTGAGTCCACCAAGATCTTCTTGGCGTCGAACTTCCCGACTCGCAAAGTGATCACCAATGCATCCTCGTGGGGGAGGACTACCCCGCCAAGATCAGCATAAAAAAATTGGATAACCTCGGCACCGCTCCGCGGCTTCTTGGGCGGTCGCTCATCACCCCTTTCGTCCACCCTGACTGCTTGAGAGACCCTTTGTAACTCGGCGCAGAGGGAGTTATATGTAGGTCTTTCCACTGTGTAGGCATGAATAACATCAATTACGGGTGCTACCTCAGCTCACTCACTCCCTCGCCGACCCCGGGACGACCCCTGTTGATGAATTCCCCGAGGTGTCCGTCTCGCACCAACTGCTCGAGGAAGGATTTATAAACCTTGCAATCCTCTGTCAAATGGCCGAAATCTCTATGATATGAACAACGGAAGGCCGCATTCCTTGTCGACGGGTCTCCAAACATCCTCGGGGGCCACTTGAAGTAAGGTCTATTTTTATTTTGGGAAGCATCCTGTGAATGGGCTCGTTGAAGACCGTGTTTACTCCCTGAAAGAATAAGCGAGTTAGAGGTGGAATAGGCCCTCCCCTGTGGGCCGGCTATTCCCTCTCTCTTTTTCTCGGCACCGTGGTCCTACTTTCGGGCGCGACTGATTCTTCCTCCACTCGGACATATTTGTTAATCCAAGCCATCAAGTCTTTCATGTCCGCTAGAGCCTTCTTAGTCAGTGATTTGTACAAATCAGTGTCCCAGAACAGCCCTAGCCTAAATGACACCGTGGTCAATGCCTCCGAACATACCTCCACCTCGTTCACTTCATCCCAATACCGGACGACATATTGTCGGAGTGTCTCTCCTCCTTTCTGCCTAAGCATCAACAGAGCGCCGATGTCCTTCAATTTCTTACTACTGGTGATGAATCAAGCTATGAAGAGCTTCGTCAACTGTTTCCAGGACCTAACATTCTCAGGAGCAAGGTTCTCATACCACCTCATGCCCGTGTCCCTTAGGCTCATGGAAAAAACTCGGCACAACACTTTTTGGTCAGTATTATAGATTGACATCAATTGTCTGTATTGCCAAAGGTGGCTCTCGGGATCGATTTTTCCATCATAGACTTTGAACGTGGGACGATAAATTTCTTCAGCATCTCGACCTCCCTGATAGCCCGGACGGACGGTGAGATAACTTCGTCTGAGTAGACCTTGGGCTCATGGTTGCGCAGAGTAATGAAGGGGACCCTGGGATCCTTGTTTGATCTCTCCCCTCAAGGCCTATGGGGTATGGACTCTGCTTGTGATTCGACGGCTCCGACGCCCTCGGGTATCCCTCGGCGCAAGTCCCACCTGGACTGGCTTACCTTCTAGCCCGATTCTTACTTCCCCTTGGAGGCCGAGAACCCTCCTTGGTGGTTACGTCCTTTGGGCGAGTGCCTAATCCAATATTTCCTGGAGGGCCAATGCCAGGGGGGTCTAGACAGGTTCTGGCTAGGCACCTGGTCCCTGAACCCGCGACTATGCTCACCCGCGCTCGCTGACTGCTCGAAATTGTCAAGACGTTGCTGGACTTTGGCGTTTTCCCTTTCAAGCTGCTTAATATGTTTGCCCATTCACTTTTTCACCATCTCAACGATGTCATGGGCCATGAGGTCACACCCCCTAAGGCCCTGATCCATAGGGAGCGTTCTTTGCGAAGAATGTCCCACCTCATCTGATTGGCCCGATGAACCCGGCTCCAGAAAAATTGAAATTCGAACGGCATCTGCGTTCCTGGCCCGTACACCTGCTCCCTCACTCTGAGATCGAGTGTTCACCATCAGACGATCGTTACCGGGAAAAATGTCTTCGTTCCAACAGACGGCATCAAATTGCACGGGATAATTCCTGCAATAGTATAAGGCAGCGATCTCCAAGCTGACGAACTTGAAACAACAGGGTCAGAAAAAAGGGGGCCAGACGAGTGCCTGGCTAATCCCTTCTGAAGCTTAAGTCAGTATAAGGTCGAAGGGTTTTGCTCAATAGACTATTTTTCTGGTTCAAGTTTGCGTACCTTTGTCCATTTTTCTGGAGAGTTTTTATACCTGAATTAACAATGATTGTCAAAGATCTTCAGTCTTATCTGGACATCTTACTTCAGACACACCATTCATTGTGCAATGAGTGTTTTCTACTCACGTCTCCTCCTATTGAATGCTAGGAAAATAGGGTAAATGCTCGGCCAAATGCCGAGCATTTATGCCACTCCCCGAGTACCCAAATCCCCCAGATCGGCATCCGACATCAACTGAGCATTGAATACTCGGGGGGAACAGTTTCTCAGGATAGCCGATCGCGTCGTCTCGGTGTATCAGTCATTAATGCTTAGCCATCATGACAGTAGGCTTAGACTCCCAGAGGACAAGTGCTAACAAGCGCACATTTATTTGTCTTATCACTATCACTCATTCCGCCATAAATGGGAGGTCACATCTCATTAAATACGATACTAGCTGTCGTACTCGACTGCTCCGTGTCACCATACCTCGACTTACTTCCTCGACACCTTTTGGATATCCCAACGACTTTATTATTTCACGTGTCAATCCGGGGCTGTAGAACCACCTAGAATCCCGCCACATTACATATCTAAGAAGTAGAATCCAAATGTATATAATCAAGAGAAAGGGTTTGTTAGTGCAATAGGGATGAGACATTTCAAAAGTGTGGAGATATGGTGGAGTTTAGAGGGTCCCCAAATACTAGGGTATGTGTTCGAGAGGGGTATTGGAGGACATGTAAAGAGGGCAAGGACGAGGTGATTAAATTGAATATTGTGTGACATCTACTCTGCTTTTGTCTTAATCTACGTTTGGGAAAATACAAGGATGTGTTACTGTGCTCAGGAAATTTTTTAAGTTTGTTTATAAAAAAATTAGTTTAAAAGATTTTACTCGAGCTCGAAAAATAGTTAAATTACTTGTATTCGGCTCTTTTTTGGTTTAACTCGAGTTTCGCTCATTTTTGCAAATGTGTTAAATTTGAATAATTTTTTAAACTTGTTTAAAAAAAATATGAACAGATTCAACTCTAATGTAAAAATCTAAGGACCCGAATTCGAAAGAAAAGGAAAACAAAGGATCAAACCTGACCCGAACCTCCAACCCAAAAACCTAAATCGGTGGGATTGTGCTTTGCATTGCTGTCCCTTCTGTTTCTCTCATTCTTAAATCTCTCGTCTCGTGTTGTGAATCAAAATCTTTTTTCGAGCAGTTTCGGTTTCAATTCTTCGCTCCCTCGATCTTTTTTTCTATGCGATTCAATAATTCTCCGATTTATATGTATTGATATTCATAATTAGGGTTAGGGTTTCGAGCTGAGAATAAGTGTTCATATCAGTCGATTTAATATTAGCAATAGCGATGTACGCTGATCGCGTAGAAGCTGGAACGAATAGGTCAGTAAAGGAGCGTCTTAATGGCAACGCCGCCGGCGATTCTGGTCGCGGAGAGTAATCACCGGTAAAAGGTTTGTTTTCTGTTTTTTTGTATATGAATTGATATCTTGTAATGCAAAAGCAGCAATGGAATAGTGAAAATTTCTAATCTGCTTATGCTGTTGTGGGGGGTTTGAATATGAAGAAATCTCAATCCAAAATCAAGATTTTACCACTATATCTGAGGCTTAAAGGCTTTTATTTGTTTGATAAGATAAAGCCTGTAGATAAGTCAATATTGCTTTATTCCTGCAGGCAGAGGCAAGATGACGACAAGTGGGAACATGATCTTTACGAGAATGATGAATCTCAAATTTCCAGTACGAATAGTTTGATATGAAAATTGCATTGAATTAAAGTCTACTGATGTAGTTTTATGATAATGTTGTTACTGTAGTTGTAACATAATTGTAGTAAGTTATTCATTTTTAAGCTTTATTTTGGGCAATTCTGATTTTTATTGTTATTGGCATGTAAAGATCGCAGAGTAGGTGCTAAAGATCTTCGTTTGAAGCTCCAGAAGAAAAACGCCGAGCAAGCAACTCGTAGTGTAAGGGGATCTGTAAGGGATCTGCGTGAAAAGCTATCTGGTATAGCATATTCGCAGCCTGTGAGCACTGATCCACCAAGGCCAAAACCAATGCTTGAAGGACATAATTTTGTTAGGAAAAGTGTCACAGTTGAAGCCCCCGTGCCAGAGACCAAAAAAATTGCCAGCTCTGTTACTAAGAAGAAGACTCAGCAAAAGGCAGAAATCTCTGAATTATCCTGTTTGTGCTAATAAGAGTTTAGTTTTTGTTTTCAACAATTCAAACTCAATAATGGGGATAATTTGTGGTGTGCTTTTAACTTGTTGCAGGCTGAATCGGTGGATAATTTCCTGCAGTCCCTGGGTCTTGAGAAATACTCGATCACATTTCAAGCAGAGGAAGTATGGCACCTTTTAGCGTTGTTGTAAACTCTAAGCACAAAGCAATTCAGAAAAAATATCTGAATGAATGTTATGTTATTCAAAACAAGCTGTTGGCTTTATATAAGCCTTACAAAGAGATAAGATTGAAAAACAAACAACCCACGTTCTACTGATCCTAATAACATGGTAAAATGACTAAAGAAATGGTCAGACTCTACCTACATATCCTAAATAATAGGATTTATTAACTGAATGA